GAAGATTCTGATTCGATAGACTTTAATACTTTAGATGGAACAGGTACAGGTATATCAGCGTCATGTGGAACTGGTCTTATTGCAGCCATAAGAATAGGATAGTTAATATACTTTAGAGATTTTGTGTTATGACTTTCAATATCACAAAGACAAAAATAGCAGTCGTCAATGTGATTTTTAGGTTTCCTACAGACCATTAGTATTCCAAACGGTAAGACTTTTCTTGCTCCTTTAAACCAATGTCTCAAGGCTTCTTTACAAATCTTGCAGATAACATGTGGCGCCCAAGGTTTATCTTGATCTCCAAGTCTGACTGTAAAATATGCATTTTTTTTCGAAATCAGTAATGTTTCTTTTAAACTTCTTTACTATAAAGTGTCCACAAATATAACAAAAGTCATCAGGCCTATTTTTACAACACCTACTAGACATTTTTTTAATAGAGTGCACAACGAAACACCGATAGAATTCGATAGACAACGCCTGTCTCAATACCACGGGGATACTAAATATATCGCCCTCTTTTCTGAATAAATCGAGTCTCGGGGAATTCCTAACAATATTCTAGTAAGTACCCCCTACAAATGCGTAAATTAAAACGAGGTTTTAACGCGTCTCAACGTTTTGAACAAAAATAAGGAATTCAAATTAATTTGTTTGTAATGTTTAGGGATAATACCCTTGATACTAGTTTACAAAAAATTATAAATGATTTCTGATTTTGTTTAGTCTTGGAAGTAATTTTGTAGTAACCCGTAAGTTGCCACGCATATCTTTCTGTTTGTAATGTAAATTTTCCTCTTAAAAAGATTGCAAAGAGCACACCACTGCCTGGCGCTCTTAGTACCTGATGTGGAAATGACTGCTTTATTCCCATTTCCATTCTTCATTCTGATGTGCCTGAGTTACACCTTCGCGACGGCATTTCGATTATTACGAAACCGCTAATTTCTAGAATTCAAACGCACTAATGTGACCTGAAATATTATGTGCCTTGGAAGTTCACGAACAACAAATAGCAGCTAACACGAAAGCTAGAGTTGAAGTTTCTTGTTTACTCACCGAATATACGAAAATAGCTAAGATATTTATGAAAAGCTTTAGGGAATTTTGAATTGGAGTGGGCTCATAATATAATTCTGAACAAGTTTGCTTGAGGATTGAGGATGATAATGGCTTGAAGTATGTGAAGGGATATACGCCCATTAGTGGAGTTTTAATCGTACAAGTTAAAAGTAATTTATATTTATATTAAAATCATATTAATTTAATCCATCAACATTTTTCAAATCTAGAAATAGGTCTTATAAAGGGAGGTATTAAGGTATTAAGAATATTTCATATCCCATAATCCCGTCGATATAAAATATAAATAAAGATGCAGTTATAATAAAATGTCATTCAAAAAATGAAACTGTAAAATTAAAAAATGAAATTGAGAATAAATTACCAAAAAACTATGAAATAGAATTTACAAAAATGAAGCTAACTAGAATAACAATAGTAAATTTCACAGAAAACATGTCAAAAAAAATTCAATAAAAGAATAAAACAATATAGAAGAAGATATCAAAGTCACATATATCAAAAGGAAAACTAGAGACAACACTAAAACATTTTACTAAATCATGAATAAGAAAAAAATCTGTTTTGGATAGGAAAGGAATAGCGTTTTTGAAGATCTAACTCAGTGGTCGCCAACCTCTCAATGTGTTGAGCTACTTTGTTAATTTTGGAATAAACAGCGAGCTACCCACACGGAAGCCACGTAACGCAACGTAAATGAAATAATCCACAGTTAATTTATTATTATATGTATTTATTTTACTATTTAACTGGTAATACATAATACATAGGTACTAATAATAAACTAATAACAAAATAACTAATATTACTGGTACGTACTTGTTCATAGCTACATTCCTACCTACCAAACGAAGGTGTTTGAAAAATAAATACAAACTTTTATCCAGCCACAACGGCATGTCACGTAAGATTTAAAAATAGATAATAATAACAACAAAAAAGTAACGCACTATCATGAACATAAACATTGAAAAATAAAAAAGCACGTTCAATGAGAAGGCTGACACTCAGACTAATCGATAATTTTTTTAATGTTTGCAGTATAATTTGATGCAGCCATTCGAATACAATTATCCAAATGTTCATCTGTAAGTCGATTGCGATATTTGTTCTTAATAAACTTCATATTGGAAAAAGAAGATTCACACAAATAGGTTGAACTGAATAATGCTTTCACTTTCAAGGCAACACGGCATAGAACTGAATATTTGTCTTTACAATAGACCAGATACATTTAGTACTTGAGACTAACGATTTTAAGGCTAAATCAATTTGAAAAACTCAATTACTTCCATTTCTGTTGCAGCGATGTCTTCGCCAAAGTTCTGCATAACACAAGTTGCAAACTGTTGGATATCAATTTCCATAAAGAGTGAAACAACAAACTGCGCTACTAAAGCCATTTCGTTGAAATCCTTAAAACTATTTTTGAAGTTATTCTTCAGGGTAGAAACTATTTCTACATGATATTTGCTGTCATAGGGTTCTAATGGATTTTGAGATATTTTTTCTGAAAGAATAGGAAAATGCTTGGCATCGCTGTTAATTAGGTTTTGTTCCCAAAACTCCAGCTTTTTTATAAATGCTTTTATATCAGGAATGATTTCCGCTTGTTCTTTGTCTCTCCCCTGAAGCTGCAAATTAAGTTCGTTTAATTTCTCTGTAATGTCCACGAGAAAACCAAAATCTCTAAGCCAGATTTAATTTTCTAGTTCCGGAGTCGCTTCATCGCGTTGTTTGAAAAAATGAACTATGCCAGATAGGACATCATTAAAACGTTTCAGCACCTGTCCTCTACTTAACCATCGGACTTCAGAGTGAAGGAGTAGGTCCCCGTATTGACAGTCAACTTCATCGGCCAAGGTTTTGAATAATCTTCTTTGTAACGTTTGAGCTCTAATCTTGTTCACAATTTTTACCACCAGTTTCATAACGTTGTTTAGTTTAAGGAAATATCCACATAATGCTTGCTGATGGATAATGCAGTGGTAACAGAGAAATTGCGGAAAAGTTTCATCTTTACGACATAACGCCACCAGACCCTTATCACAACCCACCATAGCTGGAGCGCCATCGGTTGTCAAGCCTACCATTTTCGATATTGGAATTTTCTCGGAAGAAATAATATTTTTTAAATGAGAAAACAACTCCTGTTCAGTAGTGTGTCCTTTCAGTGGAATAAACTTCAAAAGATCTCATTTAATCGTAAAATCACTAAAAACCATCCTGACGAACACGGCCATCTGGGCAGTGTCAACGACATCTGTTGATTCATCCAGTTGAAGTGAAAAATAAACACAATTATCTAAGTCAGTACTTAATTGTAGAAAAATATCATTGCTCATTACTTCTACACGTCTCATCACTGTACTAGCAGAAAGTTGCATAGATTTTATAGCTGAAACTATCTCGTCTTTATTTATTAAGTTGGCAAATAACGAATCAGCAGCTTCTAAAAACGCCTATTTTATCATTTCCCTGTCTTCATAAGGTTTCTTTTTTTGTGCAATTATCTGGTACACACGGTACGATGCTTCAGTTGCAGCCTTATTTTTGTCGACTGTTCTTAAAAATATTGATTGTTGTCCAATTAACTGCTTTTTTAAATGTTTCAGTTTCTCCTTTCTGGCGGCAGAATGTAGTGAGAATGATTTTTCAAAATTATAATGTACAGTTTTATGATGTCTCTCAATAGTTCCTTTTTTAGCAATGGAGACCGAAGTATTACATAACAAACACATATGTTTATCTTTAACTTCTGTAAAAAAGTATTGTTCTTCCCATTCCGAATGAACGTGGTATGTCTTTACCTTCTTACAACTGCTTGTCATAATATTATTTTTTGTTGTTCTCTACTAACCCAACCGCTGGACGTTGGTTACGCGTTCAGTTTTAAACTAAGCGCAATGTCGCCGCGCCGTGCGTATTTATCCCGTTCAAAGCAATCCTGATCGTTCTCGAACACTAACGCGCTGGTCCGGCTGGTCGGTTCTAGCCGATTCTAGCTTGATGGCGTCAGCGGCAGATCGCTCACCGCAACGTTGCCGCTGTTTATGTTTAATATTATGACCATTAGATTTTTTTGTGGAATTTTCGGAAGCTTCTCTGATTTTTGCAGTTTGTATTTTTTAAATTAAAATCGTTGTGAGAGCTACCAGAATTGCCTCCGCGAGCTACCGGTAGCTCGCGATCGACAGGTTGGCGACCACTGATCTACACAAACAACATTTTCAGTGAAAAGCAGTTTGGGTTTAAAACAGGTTTTAGCACTAACGATGCAATGTTTGAACTTGTTAACCGAATCAAACTTACTTTGGATAAGAGTGATAAATATATTGCAGTGTTCTTGGATTTAGCGAAGGCATTTGATACAGTGCCTCATTAATTTCTCCTTAATACTTTACAACAGTATGGAGTGAGGGGACTGTATTAAATCTTTTCAAAAACTATTTGTTAAATATAAACCAAATGGTGAGAATAAAAAATATCTCAAGCGAACCGGAAATCGTTCAAATTGGAGTGCCCCATGAAACGGTTTTTGGTGCAATTTTATTTATCATTTATATCAATTTTCCACCGAGTAGATTTCAATTTCTGCTTAAATGTTATATTTATATTGGTCTCCTATATTATTTCTATGGTCTCATTATGAAAACGGTCCAAAAAGAATAAGAAATTTGCAGCTTATTTTAGTTCCTAATTAAATATTGGTGTTCACTAAATAAATTTCTTGAAAACAAATGTCTCAGAACTTAAACTATGACCGTTTAAACAGGGCACTCTGTATGAAAAGCATTTTTTTTTATTTAAACAATATTTTTGGATCTCATAATAATTTTTAAATGTTGTAATTATTTTTATAAAAAATTCCCGATTTATTACATATTAATTATTAATTTAGAATAAAAACTCACCTTTAATTTCTTGGCATCGTTATTCTGTAGAATGAATGCAGCGACAGCCATATCAAATTCATTTTTGTAGATTATAGCCAAACTGGGAGTTTCTCTGTGTAATTCTGACACTACCAGTCGGTCTACAAGATAAGGTTGTCGAATTACACGCATGGTGGCGCCACCTTTCTTCGTCGACGGCTTGCAAACTAACAGCATGTCTGTTAAGAGGAAACAATGGACTTCCATCTGTTGAAGGACATAACATAATTCGGATTAATTAATGTTATGAATTAGGAATAGAATACCGTGTTGATACATGATGTTAAAACTTTCGCATTAAAGGAAGAGCATGGAATTTCGTATTTTATTTATAAAGTTGTCAAAAACTAAAGTCTTTTAACTTTAACCAACTGTATAATATGAGAATCTACGAAATTTTAATACAACAGTAATTTATGCAATATGATGGCATTAGCGCACGTAGACGAAGTTAGAGCACGATGTCTGAGATGTACAAACAATTCGAGTTTAATTTTCAACGACCTACTAAATTATAATATTTTTAAATTGCGTTAAACGTTATTAAGATAAAATAACTATTTTACAAACACAAAAAATAAGGATAGCTACAAAAAATACCAAATAAAAAGCAGTAAAACAACCACGCCACGCTTACGAATTTAATTTTTAATATTCATAGAGGAATTTTGTAATGCAGTCACTCCATTTGAAAGTTTTGTATGCTCGTGAATGGAGGCCTTTACATTGTGGTTTCAATACTATATTCCATCGGGCGATGGTCCACTATGTATATAGATAGATACGCAATCTATCGGAATAAATACGAACTTAATGAGGCACAATTATTGTCCACATAGAAAACGGATATTTCGTGAATAAAGTCGTAGGTCACTGCGTTTATGTATGTCTGTGAAATGCATAGAATGTACACGAACCGCTTCAACTTTCAACGATTTCGAAACCATTTGACGTTGACTTTATAGATACACAAGAGCACGTCGAATATTGGAATTGGATATCCTTCCGAATTTGGGTCTTTTGAGTTTTATATAGCGTACGTAAATGCTGTATGTAGCAAAGTGGACATTTCAAGTACCTACAATTTATGTTTCATGATATAAGAAATAAACATTCGTGAATAATGCATAACAAAATTATATTCAGCATAATTTTAAATTCCTTTTTTTTTCATTTTAACTACAAAATAAAATAGGATTAATGTATTTTCTGTGTTTATTATAAAAATTCTACCTAGATAATTATAAAAATATAACAAAACGATATTTTCTTGAGCCTAAACTTGTTTAATTAGTCTAAAACGTGCACGCACTGGACGACCGCGATATTTCTTATTATGACATGAATAACTGAACTGTCAATCTGTCAATAGTTATTATATTTGTGTTTATTGAACAAATTTAGATTTTCAAAATGCCTAAGCATTTAAATAGCCGTGCAAAGAATTATTGGAGATATTTTGAAAAAGAACAAGACAGTAGTTATTACAAAAATGCAGTCAGAAAGTGTGTAGCAGAGGCATTGAAACTGAATATTTTGAGAGTAAGCTCAATTTCCCAGGCAATAAAGAATAACCATATTTTAAATTCTTTTCCAAAATTTTTAATTCCGACTACATTCGTGATGTCATTCACGATATGTATGGAAAAAAAACAAGTAACTCTTGCTGAATTACATAAAACTTTAACGCAAAGAAAAATGTTTACAGGCTGCAAAAGATTATTGTATACAGTGTTAACCAATATAGGATTTAAATGGAAGAAAGATGATCCCAGCGGGGTCTTATGGAACTTCCTCATGTTTTCAGTAAATGATTTAGTTTTTTACTTTCCTATCTGTATACAGATATAAGGAAAGTATAGGAATCATGATTTTTTTCGTCCTCGAGTTTTCGACGGATTTTTACAACTTTCTAGACAATTGCCAATTATGATTTTTAAAAAAATATATTTTTCTTAATAACTTTTAATTGTTTATAATCGTTTTTTTTTATATATCTATTGTTAGTTAAGAAATGTGTTTTTTTTTAAATCATAATTGACAGTCCTCTATAAAATACCACAGAATCTGAGGAGACTTATACTACAGAATCTACTAGTACAAGTACAGAATCTACTAGTCCCAGCACTAGCACAGAATCAACGAGTAGTAGTACGGAATCTACAACTACTAGCACCGAATCGACAAGTACAAGTACAGAATCTACTAGTCCAAGCAGTAGCTCAGAATCTACGAGTACAAGCACATATTCTAAAAGTACAAGCACAGAATCTACCAGTCCTAGCACTAGTACCGAGTCTACCAGTAGCAGTACAGAATTGACAAGTAGTAGTACGGAATACACAAGTACTAGCACCTAATCTACAAGTACCAGTACAGAATCTACAAGCCCTTCAACCAGCACCTCCACCGAATCAAGCAGTGTAACTACAACCGAGTCGACCGAGAGTACGACTGAATCAGAAACTACTGAAAAATCATCCACCGAAACCGAAAGTACAACAGAATCTGTGGCGATTTCTACTACAGAATCTACTAGTACAAGTACAGAATCTACTAGTCCCAGCACTAGCACAGAATCAACGAGTAGTATACTATTCTATTGTAGATCTTCCAAGGAAGTGCACTATCATGTGTTCGGTTACCATTTGTAATATTAAAGATAGAATTACACCAGAATACAAAAAGTTTATAGCGTTATTCAGAAATAAATGAACAAAAGGAGAAGCACAGAATATTCTGCTTTCGAAGGTAATTTAAATTCCTGTCTAGGTTCTATTTCTTTTAAGGTGGGTGTATAGTGTTGCTTACTTGTTGTAGCTTCTGAACACCATCGAAGCGAATAACCTTCCATCACATCAACATTTGTTATTAGAAAAGGCCACTGTTGTCAAAAGTTTCAAGTTTTAATGATTAGAGGATATATATTCTTCTTCGAATTGTCCTTTTTATAAATAATAAGAGTGAATAGATTTATATCGAATGCAAAGTGACTAGAAAATTATACTTTCATATTCAACTGCAAATGTTGCTTTCTAATAAACAATGGGTTTCTGTATGGAATATCAAAATTTTGAAATAAATAAGGACGTTCAAATAATAGAAGTTTATTTTAAATGATATGAAGCCAGCAAATATTTTTTGGAATTGTTATATACCTATTTATAATGAATTCAAATAAAAATAAGTTTTGTCATTTTCTTCATATTTATTTATGAATTACCTAGTATATTACCGTTGACAGTGTCTTTTAAAAAGGTTATTTATGGTAAGACATTGACAGTTTACTGTATAGGTATTCTGCCATCAAAAGCAAAATCCCAGTAACTAGGCAAACTATAGAATGGAGATATTTGCAATAAAAGAAATTATTAGTGCCAGCATTTTCATCTGTGGTGCCAATATAGCTGCATTTGTTGAATCAAAGACAATTTTTGGATAATGATTTGAACTAGCTAAAAATAGGTTTAATTTGTTCTTTGTGTTGGTTCGTGTTTTAAAAGGTTTTTGCTACAAAAGTGTTATGGTGTAGAATCAAGTTGACTTTTTAATCCCAATAAGATAACAATTATAAGCAGATTCATTTTATCAGAAATTGTGGAACATCAAATTATATTTCATATACTGTCATATACTGGATTCAATTGGTCTGTGACGTCATTACTTACTTCCGGTTTTTCTTTGCTTGTAACCTTAAATATTACATATTTTTTCAATTTGACTTTTAAACATTTTTTATTCATGCTCTTCCTAAATAATGCTGAATTATACCGAAAACCACTTCGACAATCCCAATATTTACAAATCTTACCTTGGACGCTCCGCTGTCTTTTAGCTTTAGATCACCTTCCAGTAACAGATGGCGTTTTCTCTCAACAGGACAATTCAACATCGGCCTTGTTAAATCGAGTTGCGTTAAAGATTTTTCTTTCTTTAGAAGTTTGTCAATGTCGTCGTCTTTTGATTCCTGAAACATTATTTTGTGGATTAGAAGTGACGTTTTTTCTTTGTAAAAAGGAAATTATATTAGTGGTGTATTTTTATAAAAGGTTTGGGAGTTTATTTTTATCACGTTATTAGGTCTCATTTATAGTCTATTTTTATGTATGAGAGAGTAATAAAACAGCATTTCTAATGCAAAACTTAGTACGGTTATTTTAAATATTTTTACATAATAATCTAAATATTTCCTAAAATTGTAATAAATGTACCTGAGCTATTACACGTTTTGGGTCTTTCATTGGTCCTTTATAAACATAAGCTGTACAGAACAATAGAAAAAGGTTTGGACAGGCCAAAAGCCCTCTGTATTAAAGATTACATAGCCGTATCTTAAGATTGTTTTCAATAAGTACCTATTTGCCAATTTGTTTTATTTTAATTCCAAGAATTTCTTACAGTAATCGAATTATAAGTAGATAAATACCTTCCCAACAAATTTCACCGAAAATGCGATTATAGGTTTTCCATTTAGTAAGGAGGTCCAAGTTGTGTATTCTTAACAGTTTACTAAATGTCGCTTAGTTGCAACTTGCAAGGTGCAGTGTGAATTCTAGTGTGATCCTGGAAAATTTGGAAGGGCCGCGTAAACGACAAAAAATCGGTCCTTTAACAGTTAATGAAAAAACATTAATATTTAATTGTTTTAAATCATTTACAGACAAACATTTATGTAAAAGTGTTGATGACACAGTGGAATTAGTTAGTAGTACGCTTGGTGTTGGGAAATCTACGATTTACAGAGTTGTTAAAGAAGATAAATGTGGCGAGTTTCAAACAGCACGTAAAGTTCCAGGAAAACCAAAATTTCAATTAGAAAATCTTTTGAAAAAAAGACTTCGAAGGAAAATGCATGAGTTCTTCTTTAGAAAAGAATTTCCGACAGTAGACAAAGTTCTTGTCACGGTTCGAGATGATAAGGATTACCCTGAAATGAGTCGAAGCACACTATGGAAACTTTTAAAAGAAATAGGTTTTCTATAGAAAAAGCATTCCAGAAAGTCTATTTTAATAGAAAGAAGCGATATTGTAGTATGGAGAAGAAATTACCTTAGGACTATAAAAGAAATGAGAAACCAAAGAAGAAATATATTTTATTTAGATGAAACATGGATCAACGAGGGACAAAAAACAAATAAATTTTGGAAAGATGAAACTGGTACAAGTCGAAGACAGGCTTTTTTAAATAATTTATCTACTGATTTAAATCCACCATCAGGAAAGGGGCGCAGACTAATAATAGTACACATCGGTAGTTCAAACGGTTTTGCTAAAGGTGGTTTATTGACTTTTGAATCTACTCGTACCGGTGACTACCATGAGGACATGAATGCTGATGTCTTTAAAGAGTGGTTCGAACAAATTATAAATCTTCTTCCTCAGAAATGTATAATAGTAATGGATAATGCAAGTTATCACTGGAGAAATTCCCACAACCAAGTGGTTAAAAAAAGATTTACAGAATTGGCTAAATTCAAAGAATATTAAGTTCCATCCCGATTCTGTGAGAAAAGAACTGTATCATTTGTGTTCCCTTCATAAAGAGAAATTAAAAAAATATGAAATTGATGAAATTGCAAAAAATTGTGGGATGACGGTGGTTAGATCACCACCATATCATTGCGAAGTAAACCCGATTGAACTGATATGGGCACAGATAAAGGAAGAACTTTCAAAAAAAAATAATTCTTTTAAAAAGAGTGATGTTAAACAGTTGTTTTTGGAGGCTGTAAATAATGTGAAGCCTGAAAACTGGGAAAAGGCAGTAAATCATACGATTAAAGAAGAAGAGAAAATGTGGAAGTTGGACAATATTACTGATGAAATGATCGAGCCACTCATTGTAAATATTGGTTGCGACAGTTCATCTTCTGATTTCGATTCTGATTTGGATTTGTAGGTAAGAAGTAGTTTTTATATTAAAATTATTATTTATGAACGTAACGTTGTTTAAAAGTCAAAGTTTAAACCCTTATACCTACATAACCCGTTTGACACAACGTTCTTAACATACCTTGTGGAAAAATAAAACATTTTAGAAAAAATTGCACTTTTTTACCTTCAGCTGTTTAGAAGTAATAAACAGGTTAATTAGGTGAAAATATAAGTGTATACTCGAGGAATAACTTCAAAAAATATTTTAACTGTCTACTAAAAGAAGTGATACGCCTATGGATTACGAACGCTTTATTATTTTAATACTCTCTCAGACATAAAAATAGACTATAGTGCAAGACCAGCTTAGACGAAGCATAGGAGGTTTCGGAGGTTTACCCACTTTATCGAATATTCTTCGTTATCATAAAAGTGGAGACCATAAGAGGTCTAAATAATACATAGATTAAGGGATTAGAGGATGACCGGACTAGTTAAAAATGATCTGCACGACAGATCTGAAGCAAAGAAAATTAAAAGTTTATTAACAATTTTCAAAATCTAGCCTTTTATTTTTACTTCTTTATTAGTTTTAAATAACCTTGAAAATCAATAGTACCCTGCATTTATTTAATAGTTATTTATTTTCAAAATACTACAATAATAATGCAGTTTACCTCGTGATAGATTTTTATGAATATATTTTTTACAAGTGAAAAGGAATCTTAGCTTCACAGTTGCAGAGTTATTTTTAGTTAATTTGTGTTTGATGCATTTTAAGTTTAATTAATTTAGTTTGTTTTGTACGGTTCTATAATCTCTTTTAAAACGAATTAAAGATAAAAAATTGACGTAGAAATAAAGAACAGAATACATCCATTTAACAAAAAAGTGCGTTAGGTATTCATTTTAAAAATTCAACAAAACTAAAAATATATTTTTCTACAATCACAAGATTTCTACACTTTTATATTTGTTTATTTATAATTAAAATCAACTTATACTTTAATAGGATTTATTACTTTTTGTAGGCTTATGACCCTTCCCCTAAGGGGAAGGGATATGACCGCCACTGCCGATCCCTGCTAATCAATATTATTACATTCTGTGGTCGCCAACCTCTCGACCGCGAGCTACCGGTAGCTCGCGGAGGCAATTCTGGTAGCTCTCACAACGATTTTAATTTAAAAAATACAAACTACAAAAATCAGAGAAGCTTCCGAAAATTCCACAAAAAAATCTAATTGTCATAATATTAAACATAAACAGCGGCAACGTTGCGGTGAGCAATCTGCCGCTGATGCCATCAAGCTAGAATCGGCTAAAACCGACCAGCCGTACCAGCGCGTAGTGTTCGAGAACGATCAGGATTGCTTTGAACGGGATAAATACGCACGGCGCGGCGACATGGCGCTTAGTTTAAAACTGAACGCGTAACCAACGTCCAGCGGTTGGGTTAGTAGAGAACAACAAAAAATAATATTATGGCAAGCAGTTGTAAGAAGGTAAAGACATACCACTTTCATTCGGAATGGGAAGAACAATACTCTTTTACAGAAGTTATGTTTGTTATGTAATACTTCGGTCACCGTTGCTAAAAAAGAAAATATTGAGAGACATCATAAAACTGTACATTCTAATTTTGAAAAATCATTCCCACTACATTCTGCCGCCAGAAAGGAGAAACTGAAACAGTTAAAAAAGCAGTTAATTGGACAACAATCAATATTTTTAAGAACAGTCGACAAAAATAAGGCTGCAACTGAAGCATCGTACCGTGTGTCCCAGATAATTGCACAAAAAAAGAAACCTTATGAAGACGGGGAAATGGTAAAACAGGCGATTTTAGAAGCTGCTAATTCGTTATTTGCGAACTTTAGAAATAAAGACGAGATAGTTTCAGCTATAAAATCTATGCAACTTTCTGCTAATACAGTGATGAGACGTGTAGAAGTAATATGCAATGATATTTTTTTACAGTTAAGAACTGACTTAGATAACTGTGTTTATTTTTCACTTCAACTGGATGAATCAACAGATGTCGTTGACACTGCCCAGATGGACGTGTTCGTCAGGATGGTTTTTAGTGATTTTACGGTTAAAGAAGATCTTTTAAAGTTTATTCCACTAAAAGGACACACTACTGGACAGGAGTTGTTTTCTCATTTAAAAAATATTATTTCTTCCGAGAAAATTCCAATATCGAAAATGGTAGGCTTGACAACCGATGGCGCTCCAGCTATGGTGGGTTGTGATAAGGGTCTGGTGGCGTTATGTCGTAAAGATGAAACTTTAGCTCAACACATTGAGAGGTTAGCGACCACTGGCTTAGCATAACCCGATGGGACAGGTCTTGCTGTCAAATCGTTTTCTCTCTGGATGAGTCAACAGATGTCGTTGACACTGCCCAGATGGCCGTGTTCGTCAGGATGGTTTTTAGTAATTTTACGATTAAAGAAGATCTTCTGAAGTTTATTCCACTGGTAAGAGTGTGGCCCTTATTGTTAAAAGTAGAATTTGACATGTGTGGATGTCATAAAATAAATGTAAACAAATAATAACATGTACTTATAGACATCAGATATTTAAAAGAGTTATGTGTACTATTTTGTGTAGTAAAATACAGTTCTTTGGACTTTAAAGTATTCACTAGATGTAATCAGGCTGACAAATATAAGACAAAAGGTTAGAATGGGTTTTAATGTAAAATAAAATACTAAATTAGGATTCTTACGATTCAAGTTTAGAATTTAGTAAATCGATCGATTATATCTCCAGTAGGAGTAAATAAATAGGGAAAATGTAGGACACAATATATATAAAAAGAGAATAGAGCTAAAATAGAATAATGTAGAATAGATTAGGTATATAATAGGGTAGATTAGTAATTAGAGTAGCTTAGGGTAAGTTAGAATAGAGTAAAAATAGAATAGTGTACATAGTTAAGCTTAGAATAATTTAGGGTAGCGTAGAATAGGTTAGAAGTAGAGTAGTGTAAATAGTTAAGCGTAAAATAGTGATAGAATAGATTAAGATAGAATAGTTTAGTTTAGGATAGTCTAAGATAGAATAGTTTAGTTTAGGATCTATTAA